GCACTGAAGCAAAGGCTCAGGATTGCAGCTAACCCCTGCAATATCCCCTGCATCCAACCGCCCAGTGCTCCCAGGGACCCATCTCGGCTGCCAGGGAGATGCAGGCTGGGAGCACGGGGCAGTGCCGACGGTCTCAGAAGCGCTGGGCAGGCAGCACGCAGCTGGCATCAAGACGGCACCGAGGCAGCCCTGCCATGGCGTGGGCCTGCACGCTAAGGGCTCCTCCCTTTGCAGTTTTTAAGGAATCCCACCAAAACATTTTCCTAAACGTATTTAAATTCAGGAGTGAAAAGAGATGAATGACAGCGGCCTGCCTTTTATAGTTCAAGGGAAAGATATACACAGCTGCTTATTTAAATTATGAATCAATCCATTATCTAGCAGACAAATAAGGAGTATTCAGCACATTAATTAACTGAGCGTATCTGTGACCCAGATGCTTAAAAAGAGTCAGTAAATCACACTGGGAGTTTGGGTTATCTCAGTGAGAATAATTAAATATTGAAAATCAAGTTAAAACAATGTAACAGGGTCCAACTCCAGCTAGTAACTGCACATACAGTTATGGTGCACGAAGCCGATTTTGCCTGCCCTCCATGATGCAAGTTGCAGGTACAGACGTGCTGAATCCTCTGGCTGGCCTCCATGCTGCCCATCCGCCTCAGGACAGGTGCCTGCTATGTTTTGCTCCCAGCTGCTGGTGCAGCTACACTTTTAGCCAGCGTGTTGTCTATCAAAGCAAGACCTCCCCTACTTTACCTCTCCCCGAGGTCCATTTGCCAACAGTATCCATCCCCAGAGGTGGGTCCAGCTGCGGTAAGAATGCAGAAGGGTGCGTGCATGCATGCAGGGCAGCCCACATCATACAGCTGATGCTTGTGTGGGGCAAAGTACCACACTGCAGTAGGATCTGCTCTTCTGCCCCCCAAATCCCTCTGCAAGATGGTGCAGAAGAGCACACATCTTTAGCTTTACAGTAATTCCTCCTCCAAAGTGCTGTGCAGCAGAGATGGAAAGGAGGGCAGCCTGCAGAGTTAAAGCCATAACTGTCTCCCCCAGGCATGGGGTGCCTGACTGCACGATGGGGATCCTATCCAGCACTGAGCTCAGCTCGCACTGTGCCAGGCTCCCAGCAAGGGAGCTGCCCTGTGCACAACGCTGGAGCAACCTGGGAATGACTCCCTGGGCATCTCCAGCCCAGCTGAAGGCTCAGGTTCACATTATTTGTTTTTATCAGTCTGATGTTTTGATGAGTCAAGCCTCAAGCAAGTCAGTGCTCTCAGCCTGACAGCGTGTTTTTAACCACACATCTCATCTGAGTTAGTATTTCAGCACCAACACAGAGGACGAGGCCGCTTGTCTTGCAAAAAGGTATATAAAGGAAAAGACAAAAAAAGACAAGCCCTCTCCTATGCAGACGGAAGATATCATCCAGATGTCCCAAATGGACAGTGCGAATTTCTCCCCTCTTGCTTCCAAAATGTTTCCTACTGTGTACATAATTAGTGTGCTAGACACTTTCTTTTTTTATGATGTTTGGCAGCTTGTCTTCAGACAGTTGGCCTAATGCCCACAAGGCAACATGATTTCTGCTCTTACACGTTATCGCCTAATGTGGTGGGAAAAATAAGTAGAGCAAAAACCAAATCTTTCCTGAGGAAGGGAGCGGGGTGGGGGCTGCAGGAAGACAAAATGAGCTGAAAAACAAACAGGAGTATTATGAAAAATGCATTATGTGCATCTATTAGATGTGTCATCTACTGTGTATAATAGCCAGATAAATAAAGCCTCAAACACGTGTCTGGATCTAGCACACTGCCTAATGCCTGATCTACTCTGCTGAGCACAGCTGAGGCTCAGCAACAGCCATTGCAGCCTTCAAGCCTGTCCAACCGTCAAACCTGAGAGTGATTATTCCCAAAAAATCCTGTCTAGCTCAAGAGTGCAAGCTCCACCACGCTCCTAAGACATCTATGGAATTTTTTTCTTTTGAGATATTTAGCCTTTGATTCCTTAATTCTCCTACTGTTATTTCGGTCCTCTCCAGAGCGAGACAGGGGTCTCAACCACAAGGTGAGAGCAGGGGGTGAGGCCCTCGGGTAAATGGGAGTCCCGTGGTGAAGCACCGATCCTGCTGCTGTTTGGTTTCTCTTGAGGGATTAAAAGGAAGAAAATACAGAGCAGAGGCTGACATTCGAGATGGTCGCACAGGCAGCTCTGGGGAGCATAGCTGCAGCGTGGCTGGCACTTTCTATCTGAATTTGCCCGGTAAGAAAAGAGATGGGAAGCACCCCTGACTCATCACCACGTAGCGCACTGACCAACATTTTAAAGAGTAGCTCCAGACAGTGGGCTCATGTAAGACCTGAGCCTACCTTAGAAACTGAAGAGGCCATACGTATGCTTTAAATAGCAGTAAATTACACGTGCCGTTGTTATTGAAACCTTCTGAGTGGATGCAGCAATTCACCAACTCAACAACTCAGCATTTCAAGCAAACTTGCACACTTCCACACAGCCAGCACAGCCCCAGATGATGATCTCTGGGAAAGGTGGTTGATGAGAATTCATTTGGCTACATACGAAAGCTGAGTGAACAAATGTAATAGTGTGAGGCTTCTGCAAGTGCTCATAGGGATATTCAGCATCAGTGCAAAATACCCCCAGGGTAACAACACTCCTTGGCTCACGAGACCACAAGAAGGGCCTGCCATGATCAGGATTTCAATATGCTCCTTCTTTGGATGCCGTGTTTGGGAGTCTCAGCAACGTAACTGTTTAAATCCTGCCCTTTTGCCCAGGGCACCCAATCCACCCAGCACCACCTGAATAGTCTATGCTCTTCCCCTCTCCTCCTCATCCTCACAGCACAGCCAGGTAAGCTGTTTTGCAGGATCTGGGAAGCCCTTCCACCAAATGTCCTCCTGCTGGACCACACTGGTTTTCTCCTCTCAGATGTTTCCTGAGGACTGTCCATCCTGTTCTTTGTTCTTTCACTGCTGACCACCCCAAAAATGTCGCCTATGTCAGCAAGTGACTCAACAAGGCTACTCCCTCGGAGATCCCATGGCTGCTTTGCAGTCACCCATGATTTCCTCACACAGTCATCATGGTGCTTAAAGACAATAAAAGTTTGTCTTTTTTTCAAAGGAAATTATTTCATTGATGAAGAAGGAGGTTTTGCCAAAGTGCAGTCCAGTCACAGGAAGTTAGTGACAGTCACTGAACCTGTTAAATCCAGTGATATTTCATGTAACAAAACTGTTTTCCTGGCTTTGTGGCAAAGCAAATGACTAAAGTCACCTGAGTTTAAATTTTGCTCTCTCGCCCTCCAAAAATATATCTGCCCTTTAAAGTGATCTTTCCCACGTCTCATTGCCTGCTAACCAGGTTTGTCAGCCTCCAGAAAGCAGACCAAGCCAGGGACGAGCGGAACGAACAGTGAAGGATACAGACAATCCAGCAGGAAAAGGACACATATGGAGGTACTAGCCTGAGGAAACGCCTGAAGGAATTACCCAGCCTGGCACAGGCCAAGAAACAAAGGAAAAGACCAAGAGAAAGGACCAGAGAAAAACAGTTTAAAAACATTAACAAGCTAACCATTTAAAAGTGGTTAACTTTGATGAGGTCTTAAACCCCTTAATCAATGTAAGTGGCCCAAAGCCACATCCCCAGACAGAAATACTGATTCATACCTACAGCCTCTTACGAACACCCTTCCAGGTAAAAATGCATTTTGCAAAGCCCCCACCTTCAGGTACCACTTTGGGGGCTGCTTTGCCCTGGGGGGGACCCACAGCCACCGCTGATGCCGGGAGAGCGGAGGGGCACACGGCCACACGTGCTCGCTGCATCACTCAGCTCTCCCATCAGCACACTTGCACCACCAATACATCTTCTTTGATTATTGTTTCTGGCTGGCTGCATCTTGGGGATGGGAGGAAGTTAATTAGACATCTTAGCACCTGGGAAATAAAAGCCTTGATGACCTTCATTGACTCTATTGGAAAATAATCTAGGGTTGTTTAGCTTCCTTTCTGCGCTGAGGACATCATCAATTAGTAACCACAAGTAAAGCGTACAGTATTTTCTTTTTAACACAATTTAATCTGATGTGCTATTTTGTCACCCTTGATACTGCCATGTCCCGGATGATCTCAGTATTGATGGTTTTGTCCTCAAGTTCTGATGCTTAAATAGGCAAAACATATTTTATCCTATAATTAAATGAAATGCTCTGCTGGGTGAACATTATCTTAAGTTTTATAGTATTATAGTGCTTTCTATCACCTTAATATATCACCATAGTTCTGTCACTCCAATGAGGTATTACTATATTATTAGTGTAATACATCATTATGGCAAGGTGTTTTCATGATGTATTGCTTAAAAGATGAAGCCATCAGGAGGAAAAAAAATCCACGAGCAGGCTCAATATAATTACAGGATAAAAGGATACTTCATCGTTAAATCTGATAATGGTTTGACCTGGAAGTGAATGAAAGCAGGGAGAATGGAAAGCTAAAGGGAAAACATGAGAAAAAACCAAAAACTTCCCCCAGGGATAGATGTTACAACAGCAGTGCCGTGAGCAACACCCAAGATCTCATCCGCATTCAGCGCTAGGTATGGGACCCATCACACTTAACTGAATCCGTCTGAATGCTACACACTTAGCTTAAACCGATTAGCAGTCATGGCAGAGAGAGCAGAAACTCAAGATACGATACAAGCTGCCCTGCCTGAACGGGACAAATCTCTCCCTGCAGAGCAGGTGATTCCCCTTCTCTCTGTGTTGGGCTGCTCACCTACAGATATGCAGCCGCAGCGCACAGCAGCACAGTGTGGGGATGGGCTTAGAAAGAGCGAAGACTTCCCACAAAATCCCAACACTACCTGGTGTGGCAGGGAACAGGACCCGCCACACCGCTGTCCTTGCATCATCACAATGCCAGCAGGGAGCCTACACCTCACCCTCGCTCACTGCAGCCAAGGAACCTGCCCCTGTGAACGCGTGTGAATGCGTTTCAACGGGCAGGGCTGGACCACAGCACCAGAGAGAGAAGTGGCAGGTTTAGGAGACTGCACAAACTTTGAGCGCAGGCACCACTGTGTGTGCTCTCGGATGCTGAACAATTCAAAAGGGATTGCAAATCCTTGTGGTTTATACATGTATACATATATATAAAAAACAAGTGAGCTATTTGAACAAAGTGCTTACATTACTTCTAATTATATTCCCAGCAATTACAACATGCAGCCCATTAATTAAACAGTGGTAGTGGAAGTCCAATTTATTTTGTGTGGTGCCCATGCTTCTGCAAAAGGCTAATTTCAAAGCTTCTGCACTCGCTGATAGCTCCTTTTAAAAAGCATTTTCAAGGAGTTAAACTAATTGCACGTATCACAAAAAACAAGAACTGCCAAGAACTGGCTCTCAGCTGGAGAGGGAAGGGACAATGTAGAGGTGGAAGACCAAGAAGAAAAATCTGTGCTGAGCTGGCACGACAGGCGAGCTGAAGGGAGCTTCAGAACATCAGGTAGGAAAAGAAAACATCATTAAGTCTAATCACAAAAACAGCTGAGGAAAAAATAAATAACCTGCTTTTAGCCATTCATCTTAAAGCCCAGGTTTAGCAGGCAATGTCAAGCTAATTCAGTTTCTCATACTATAATGCACTTAGAGGTTTAAGTTTCCATCCAGAAAGTCCAAAGGGCAGTTTGTGCCACTTAAGAAAAAAAACTGGGTGCATTTAAACAACAGCTAGGTTATATTTAGCAGTGACTCAATCAGCCACAGTTGACTGATCTTTGTTTAAAGGCAAGGATAAACCAAAGAGAGATTTATCTCTACCCAAAGGACACCTGCAACTGGTTCCTAGGTTCAGGTGGCTCCTGAAGTTTGCAGATCACACTCCGATGAGCTTTGGGATTGCTTAGTCCTGGTAAGCCTGGAAAGCCCAGGGTGGCCATATTGTGAGAACGGGCTCTTTACACATTCCCTTCACTTGAACTATGTATTTTTTTAGCTGAAAATGAACCTCCTCAAGAATGCTGGACCCCATTCACTAAGGGTCCCACAGCTGCAGTGACCTGCAGCTCTACATCCCCACTGGGCTCCATCTCAATGATCAACTCATCCTCATGCCAATGAGGCTCATTTTGCAGGTGGAGAATTAAAAGACACATGTTTAAGTCGCATTTGAGGTCCCTGACAGAGCACAGACCTGACATCCTGTCTTGCTAAGCTCTGATTAGTGCTCCAGTTTTTCACCCAGATTTGATGAGCTAATCCTCAAGACATGACAAAAAAGTCAGATCTTGTCTCAGGAAAGCTACCAGGAATGGGATTACAAGTTCCCAGACCCTGGGGGGCAGCTACAAGATTTTTCTGTAAACTCTATTGTTTTTCCCCACCTGAAAAGCAGCAATTGTGGCACCTCCCTCCCTCGTAAAGACCTCCTCCCATGCACAGGCTGCAGGAGCACTGTGAGGGAGCGAGACTGACGTTATCTGCAATGTCCAATGGATTAAAGAAAGTTCTGTTTTCAACCCTGAGTTTTCTTCTCTCTGGTATTCACACAGGTATTCAATACTGGGCTATTCAAAAAAAGACACTCAAATCCAAGATGGGCTACAACTCATCATGGCCTAGGATGCAACTGGAGCCAGCAAACTGGTCACAGCAGCCTCTGTTTGAACTGGAACGCTCTGATGCTTAAATTGGAAATCTGCTCAATAAATAAATTACTACAAGCAAGCTGGGGAACCCTACTGTCTGGTGGGGCACTTTTCTTCCTCTCCCTGCTCTCCTTTCTGATTCATGGAAGAAATTTGCACAGGCAGGGTTTTATTATGAAGTACCTGCATGTACTTAATAGGATAGTCTTTATTATGTTATATTTCACAGTTTTGGTCTTAATGAATGCAACAACCTCAGTGTTGAGCTTTCTTTTATATCATTATGAAGGAGCCAGAAGTTTCCCCTCTCCATTCCTGCATGGAGATCCCAGTGACCCTGGAACAGAGGTGCAGGGCAGGCTTACAGAGCTCTTGGGAGCATTAATTCAACCACTGGTGTCAAGCATTTCTATCGAATTCATGCACTTGGGTTGAGATGAAGGTTTGACACAGTAACTTGCCTTTGATGGTACATTGCTGTGTCACCTGTGGTGCTTCACCACAACAGTTTGCTGTCGTGCAGTAATTTCAACAGGACTTAGGTGCTCACAACACTTTAGACATGTGGTCCTGCCCACAGCCTAAACCTGTGTCATCTGCCAGCACTTACAGCTCTGGTTTGGGGGTGTGATGTTAAAATAAGCTGTTGGAAGACACAGCCAATGCCAGAGTAATAAACATCATGATGCCAAGACAGAAAATGGTGGAATGACAAGCCAGGGCTGCATTACTGGGTAAGGGAAGAACACAGCCCACACATCACAGTGACCAGAATATGTGCAATGAGAGGGCGGGTCTTCCCTAAAAAGACAGATTGTTGTGCTGCTAATAAAAAGAAATCTCTGTAGGCACCTTAAACTTACTTAACTCATCATCTGGGCACAGCTGGGATGGGATTGTCTCACCTAACCTCCCCCAAATCGATGTTAAGCTTCCAGTGTTAAGACTCGTCCTCTCGGCAATGGAGACCAACAGGCAGGACCTATGCCACCGTGCGAGGTGCCATGGGTATCCTTCCACAGCACACCTTGCCTTCTTTTGAGAGAATGTGGATGATGGCTTCAGCCTAGAAACTTGGCATTCAGACACTTTTAGGTATAGTTTTGCCCCAATTTGTAAGCAGATCAGTAGATGCAACCCCTTCAGCCTAAATGTGGGTGATCCAGAGATGGTAACAGGGAAATACTTCTGAGCCTGGCAATGAGCGTGGACTTTTCAACAAACAAAAAAGAAAATGAACAGAAGAAACAGCCTTGTCACGGAGGAGTTTATCCCTGTTTCCACCCATCGCCACTAGACACCATGCAAGCACAGTGGCGGTAGGGCCTGTCATCTGCAGCCTCCCTGCTTTGGCTAAATTTCCAATATAGACAGCCACAGCATTTACAAGGGAAATGAAATCAAAAGCAGGAGGTTGAAGTCAGGTATATACATCAAATCCTGACGATAAACACCCAGAGCCTCACTGGATAGAGCTAAAATGCCAGAAGAACAAGTGCTGCTACTGTGTGGCTTTAGGGAAGTCAGGCATGCTTCTGGTAATGAAAGAAAACCTAAAAACCACATTGGGATACTTGAAAACCCCATGTGTTGTAAGGTGGCCATTCAGCTTCCAGACCTAAAGGAAACTTGTTGTATTTTCTCCTTAAAGACTGTAGGGCAGAAGGATATCGTCCTAAGGGATTTGTATGATGAGATAATAACCACAAGAAGTAAAAACACAAAAGGAATCACAGGATTTAGGAATAATACTGAAGTGAGGATATGGGCAGAGATAAGAGAAAAACAGACAGGAAAAGTTAGTGGGGAACTGGGTAAATTATCCCCGGAGCTGCACATCCTGAATGTCCAGCTTAGAGTCTGCCATCGCTTTAACAGATGCCAGCAGCGACAGAGCTAGTGTTGTACCCCGTTTTGTCCCAACTCTATGGCAATCAAACTAGTGGCAATCCCATGCTGCTTTCTTCTTAAAACAATGTAAGAGATAAAACTACAGAAGAGGTTGAATTAGATCATCATCACTAACTTTTAGTATTTGACACATCCACTAATCCTCTAAAAGATATAAGATCTAGAGTGAATCTTGGAATGACCGCTTTTAACGTAGAATAATCTTAAAATTAGGATAAGAAGCTTTGGGTTTGCTCTTCTCCATCTGGAGAGGCAAAAGGAGTGCTAGATAACTAATGTTATGGTTAATTCTCATCCTGTTAAAAAGCACTGTATGTTTTCTTTACCCAGTTGGTACCTTTTTACTCTGCTGGGTGAAAAGAGAATGGAAATGTCTTAAAATGCTCTGCTTATGTATGCTCTGCTCATTGGGTATTTGCTTTCAGCATTATTTACCCTCATCTGGAAGATTTTTTCAAATTATGCTGTTAGTTGCAGCTCTCACCTGATTACGGTAATCCAGAAAATAGCTACTCCAAGAGTGGCTGGGAAAATGCACCTTTAGATCCGAGGTGTGTTTCACAAGAAGCTGGGCCTTATACATTTGAGAGAGAAGCCAACAGACAAGTTGCACATCCATACTCGGTCCTCTGTCCATCCAGCCTCTGCTGGGTACCGCCTGCTCCCGGCACGCATGGTCCCAGCACAGTAACTCCTCACCTGTGGTCCCCAGCCGTGGCACGGGTACAATATTGCTGTGTGGTTCTCCTGCGGGCCCTGGTCAAGGCAGACATCTTTCGCCTTGTTGTTTCGAAGCTGTAAGAAATAAAAAGTGCAGAGTTATATGGCCCTGTCTCTTCAGAGATAAGCAATAAAGTGATGTGCAGCAATGTCTCTAGCTTCTCTTGCTATAGAAAGAATAAACAGTGCTATATCACTAGGCATAATCAGGCAGAGAAAGGTTTAGTGCGCCATATGTTTTCCTTAAATACAGGGCCTAATGATGACTGCTCTTATATAATAATCACCATTCAAAGGAGCCAACTTCCTTGAACACAGTTTTCTTTGTATTTGGTCATGTGTGGCGGTAACAAACGTATTTTTAGATCGCTGTCAGCATGTTGCCAGGAGCCCGAAATCAATGCAGAATCGCTTGTATTTCATCGAAATCTCAAAAGTGCTCAATAAGGCAGGGAAAAAAATTCATCTAACACAAGGAGCCCCTTCGAATCGTCGCAGGGATGCAGGAGGAGACAGAAGGATGGCAAACCAGCCACCAGGTAGTGAAGGACACACCTCGGAGGGAGCATGGAAGTGCTGGGTTCATGCTACAAAGCCAAACGGCCGCAGAACCCCAGCGACCACGTATGTTAATACAGAGTTAATAGGCTCTCTCCAGTCTCCCCATGTAGGGCAACTGCAATAATGCCTTTGAAAATAGTACTTTTTGGGAGGTTTTAGCTTGAAGGCATTAAGTAACTTTGATAATAAATCTTCCTTAAAATGAATGCCCATCTGGGGTGCTTGGGCTGTGCTTCAAGAAGCCTTCTCAAACTGCCACTATTCCATGAGACCAATTGCAACAGAGTATTATCAGTCCCCATAAATGTCTGGTTTTATATTCCCAGTACAGTCTCAAAGCCAGCAGAGATTGAATTAAGTCTCCTTACTTTATCTCACCCTTAAGCTGTTGTGACAACACACTGTATCCTACAGAGACCTTGTAAGGAACTAGGCTGAGTTTAAGTCAAAGGGTTTTATAAGATGACTATGTATTAAAAATACACATACAGCTGCTTAATCCTTGAATCGAATCTCAGTAATATAGATAATTTTCTGTCAATTCAGTAAATGAGGTATTAAAATATTTTACTGTATACGGTCTCCAAGATCAGAAGTAAATCCCCAAGAGGTTTTTAGAAGAAACTGTGAACAGATTTATACAAATTTATATAATTATACACAAACAGTAGGTTTTTATTTGCATTCCTCTCCTTCGAGGCTATTTCTCATCAGAGACTCACCAGCTGTAAATATTACCAGTCTGATCTAAGGGACTGCGCAGCCTTAATTACCTCGCCATAAGCAACGGTGTTGTTGTATCTTCTCATTTCTGGATAAACATGGTCCAGGTACCACTGGAAATTTTTACACTTCAAGCTCTTCCTTAACGCTTTTCTCTCGGAAATATCTCCAATATCAATACCTGGATTCTGAAAAATAAAGACACAGCATGTCACTGAACAATTACTCTTAAAAAAGATTTAAAATGAGTGTATTTCACTGATGTTTGGTATCACTTTCAAGCCACCTGGAAACTGCCAATGGCTAGGTAACTCCATGTAGAGGCCATGCCAGGGAATTTTGTCATGTGTGTTCAAGGCTGAAATCATCCTCACAGAAGTCAGAAGGAAGACTTGGGTTTCAGAGCTACGGTGAGGAGACACATACTTCTCTCGTAGGTTTTGAAGGCATCCTTGCAATGGCTACCAGACTGATGCTGGACACATTTTGGTCCTGGGAGGTACTTCAGAAAAGAGAATGCAAATGGAGAAGAAAAGGTTTTGGAGGAAACATGAGAAGTACAGTGCTACAGAGGTGAATCTTCTCATCAATTCCCCTGGGCTTTGGATCCATCTGAGAAGGGCTGAATCTGTTAACGGGCACAATGACAAAGTATTTTTAAAAGATCTCACCTCCTGTTTAGATACTGATGTATAGAACTACCAGAAGAGTTTAACAGCAAATGTACATCAGGACTGGAAAGATGGTCCCGTGCTGAATCCTGGAAACGCAAATCCCTGACTGTGCATTAAGGACCAAAACCCTACCCCTTACACACCAAGGGTGTGCGACCCTACTAAGAGGCAGCACAGAGGATAGCACAGTTAAAAGGTATAAAATAAGGGGGAAAGGAAAAGAAAAAAAAAGAGAAAGGTTTAAGATTCATCTGTAATAGACCAGATAGCTAAGAATAAAGGATAAAAATTACAGGAGAGAAGTTGGGGCTAAACCTCAGAAAAACCTCTTGACGATTTGGACAATTACGTGGTGAAACGGTCTCCCTGGAGACACAGAGGAACCCCACTACTCACGCCAATTTAAAAGCAGACAAAGCCAGGGTATCTGTCCCCGGAGGAATAATCTTAAGGAGCTGGGAGCAGGGGCTGAAAAGAGCTGCCCACCTTTAACTCTTCATTTCATTACAGAATTTGGGGAACTAATGCAGTAGCCAGGTGAAGGAAACCAAAGGCACATTGCAGCCCCTTTTACTCCTTCCTACAGGTCTGGGTTTCTACTCTATTTTAGCTCCTGCTCTTGTCTTTTGCAGTGATCATTAAATACAGCTGGGAAAGCAATTTTCCATTACAATGCTTGTAATGATCTTCTAATGAATTATTCACTCTGCTTTAGAGAAGACACCATTTTAATGCACGACTGGTAGCTCATAGGTAAAAATAAAGATGATTCAGTGTAGACAGGTAGGACAGGCTGAAATCTGAGTGGGCGAGACAGGATGCAGAGGAAAGCAGGACCACAAACCAGTCAGCACCTGAAATATCCAGTGCAGGGTGTTTGGCTTGGTTTTGAATATAGTGGCATCACAAAATAATTCAATGTATATCCATAACCCCCTGCACAATACCACCTGTCAAACAAGGCTTCTCTAAAATTAAACCTCGATTTTACTGGTAAGACCTACATAAAAATCTCGAATTGTTTTTAGGGTAACCCAGATCTGTTTTGCCAGACCCAACCCCAGTGCTGATTTGTGTGATGCTGCCTTTTCCGAGCCATACAGGACCTGCGGCTTCCCAATGAATTTTAATCCCTTTTTGCTGCACTCCAAAGCTGTTCCTGAGCAGGGGCATGGTGCTCATCACAAGGAATCAGCCCAGGGACTGGGGCTGAACCCATGGTAATTTATGATCCCTGCCTATGGGCATTTGGATCTTGCAACCAGTATTTAAGAGAGACCTGCAATCACTCAGTCCTGCAGGAAACTGCCTCTCTGAATGCTTGGAGCAGTGCCCGACACAGCCAGTGCCCTCCTGCAGCTTGCTGGGTAAACAGCATTTCTTTCCATTTCTATTAATCTATTTCCCAATAATGAAGGACTCCAGGACTCCTCACCACCCCCAGGATGACAAACCGGCAGTGCAGGCTGCTCATCGACCCTTCCCAGGTACCTGTTGTTCTCTAATGCAGTACAAGTTGTGACTACCGTGGCTCTAAATGCCAGTAACTCTCCTCAGATGTAACCTTTCCTCAGAAAGCAGCAGCAGCTCACGTTTTTATGTTTTAATGTTTTTCAAAAGACCCTGGAGCACAGCGCTGCCAGCCGGGGACGCTGCCGCAGCAGGATCAGGACCGCAGCAGCTCTTTGCAGAGGTGTGATCTGCAAGGTATGAATATTTCGCGTTTATTTTTAGCACCAAAATGGTGGCTGTAAATAACTGCTCACACAGGGTCTGGCCACTCGTGGCAATGAATTCTCCTCACACTTGAACAGAGCAGCACAGCGCTTGCTTAAGTACACTGCAAGTGGAGTGGGTATCTGGGGGTCTGCAGGGCACCCAGAATCCTCATGCCACCCATAACCTGGAGAGCATCGCTACCTCCCCCTCCCCACAACCCCTTTTCTTCAGGCAGGACCAGAGGCAGGACATGGGGTGATTGGCCCAGCCGGGGGCGTTGCCAGCACGCTCCAGGCAACGTGCAGAGCTGGGAGGCAGGAGATGCTTTCATGATTAGACCAAACCTGCAGGGAGACCAGAGCCCAAGCAGAAGCCTTGCACCCACATAAAGTCCTCCTGGAGCCTACACAGCTTTACGTAGAAGTGCAGGTAATGACCTAGGGAGGTCCCCGTGCAGGATGCATCCCTTGGGCATGGTCAGCTTGTCTTGCTGGTGGGACCCCACAGTTTTCCAAAGACGCACCATGCTGCAACATGGCAGGATTTACATGAAAAATAACACGTCAGATCTAAGAAAATCTGATCATTTCTGTGCACAAATAAATATGACTATCAAAGCTATTTAAAGAGAGTGTTTCTGGAGCAATTACATGTGGTGCTGCTGGAAGGGGATCTCTTCTCCGAGCCACCAACCTCCAACCCTTTACCTCTGAACACAGTTTCTAAGCGCCGATGGCCTTGAATTTCCCAACACTGGGAAATTGAACAGCTGAGGCACCTGGACCACACACTGTCTGCAGTGAGTTTGGGGCAGCGATGGCACCTGCGAGCTGGGAAACCCGAGTTGGGCTGCACGTGACACGGACCTGCCCGAGCCACAGCAAAAAACCTCACGTGCTAATGATGCTGATATTAATAATCTTCTGCCAACTGACTTTACAGACAGACTCCATCTGCAGAGCGGTGTCATGACATAAACTCATGCTGTGCAAACACTCAATGAGGAGATAAAGACTACAATGCAGGTTTAAATTTTAGAAA